CATAAAGAAAGATAGATTTCACTATAATAATCAAAACATATCCCCAGAATTTTTAAAATTAAAAAGGGCTACCTTCCTCATAAAAAGAACTCTTCAGAGCAACAGAGATAAATACCTATTAAGCTTATGAATAGTTAATAAACAAAAGACAACTGGCTAACATGAAATGAATTTCACTAAGAAACATAAATTGATTTATTACCTGTCAAACTGGCAAAGACAAAATTTTTTCAAAACCTAGCATAGCTAAATGAAAAGCAGAAGTAATAAGAATGTAAAACTTGAGCACCATTCCTGAGAGCAATTTTAAGCTTAGAAATTTAGAAGTAAAACTTTAGGCCAGCAACTCCAAGGAATTTATGTATGCTTACTTGTGTGTATTTATGTGGATTTTCATCATACTGTTATATTTTATTTTCAGCAATAAGAAATTGTTAAATTATGATTTTTCCATAGAAGAATTTAGAAACACTAAAATCACAATATATTAAATGAAAAAACCTAATCACAAAATATAATCCCATTGTTTAAAAAATAGATTTGCATTCACATCCATCAAAAGGCAAAATATTAATGGTGGTTATCCCTGGTTGGGTTCCTATGTTTTCACATATGTATTCATATAAACAGGGAAAAAAGGTTCTAAGTTTTTAAACTTAGTCAATAAGACATGCCAGAGTGGATAACAAGTGGTCACCTTTATCAGATAAGATTCCTAAATTTGGTCTTGCAGATAAACAAGAAGAAAACAAGGCTAAAAATGGCCTGAAATTCTTTACAGTAGTTTATTCACAAACTATCAAATTCAGATTTTTTTAAAAAACAAATGGTTTAAACGCATTAGATTTAAGTTACTTTTTCTAAAAGTTCTTGCAAAAAAAAAAAAAAAAAAAAAGCATAACTTTACAACAAATTGGGAAAAAAATTAAGGGTGATTCACTACACAGCTGCGTTTTGAATGCAATTAGAACCAGAAAATTCTTTAATGGGACATTTGATATGGTGAAAGACTCACAAAATTTTTCCATTATGATTAAAATTTTGTTTTCTCCATCTTCAACTGGATCCCTTGATACTTTTTTAAAGCTTTTATTTTTAATTAAACTAGAAACAGTTTAAGGAATTATCTGGAGAGGCCTCTGGTATCTGACAAACTATTGCTTCCCTTATAAAACAACTTAATCATAAAACCTTGATAAAGTATAAAAGCAATGTTTGCAGGCTTGCTGATATCACTCTTTTTCCTACAAATAGAAAATACTACACTTTAATGGTTCAGTCTTATTTTCTAATTGTCGGATATTTAAGTAACTTATCTTTTTAAAAAGAGGAGCCTCCTTTTTAAAGACTACCCACATATGAAATAGTCCATAATTAAATTTTCTATAATAGTTGATTTTCCAATTTTTTCTGGTTTGTTGATTTTTTTAAAGTCATCTGACTTAGTGGTTCAGTATTCTAAATTTAATTTTTTTTTTTTTTTTTACTAAAATGCTGGTATTTTAATAGTCAATTTTCCTATTGAAAAGTTAAGTATTTTCTGCAGAATTTACTTAGCTAGAGGAACTAGCACTGGCAATCCATCTCTCTTAAGTCTCATTTTTCTTAGCAGTAAAGTGAAGAGATGGACCAGCTGGCTTTAAATTACTTGGACATCCTGTTCAGACTTTTAAAATATCAAAACCAATATCCTAGGGAATCATCTTTATTCAAAACATGTATTTCAGACTTCCTTCAAAAAAATAAGTAAATAAAGGACCTAGGGTGAAAAATTATTAAAATTAACTAAGCTCATAGCAAATACTGGTCCTCTAACTCATAAATACCAGTGAGATTAGTCTGGAAGCATTTAACCCACTTATCTTCCATTTTTCTCAAGAAATCTTGATATTTCCTACAAATTGGCTTACTACAAACTAGATAGATGCAACTTAAAATTTGTTTTCATCAGTTTCCAGTTATTCTTTCTAGAACCTTATTTCTGTATTCAAATACAACATTAATAATTTTACAAAGACATTCACATTTTCAAGTGGCAAATACCACTAGCTTTTCAAGATACTTTAAACATCTCCCTGTTTACTGTCAGCCTACTAAAAGTATGACTTAATGCCTTTCATGTTTATTGATGTAGTCCAAGTAATTAGAACATACTTGGCACTTGGTAGGCACTAAATATATATTTACTGATAGAATAAAGCTCTGAATCATAGCTAACACATTATCTTAATTCACATTTGAAAACTATTTTAATCAATAACCCCCTGAAAATGAGTCTTTTTTAAATTACATGGGTGACTATAACTCTCCAACACATAATAAACTAAATAAAGATGGGAAACATAAGGAAATACACAAAGGAATTTCACATGGGTGACAAACATTTTTTTCTTTTGATTGGTCAATCTATTCCGTTTTCATTTTATTTGGAATCCAACTTACCGTGTGGTTGTTTTCCAAAAAAGTTAAGCAATATTTTATGTTCCTTAGATTTCACTCCAGAATACCCAGTGATTACTGCAATTATTATAACCTACAGAATTAGCAATTTCCTAACCCTGCTCTTATTAGTCCAAATTCCTAAAATATTAAATGCTGTAAGATTTTTAAAATGCTATAAGGTTTTTACTACCATATCTCATAGATTTTAAAACATTCCCATTTCTGAATTTGGGGTGAATCTTTAAATTCGCTCATCTTACTTAGAATTGCATTGTGGTTTAATTGGCAACATTATTTCTAAGTGGTGCATAAAATACTGGTGTATATCTCAATCAATGCTGTGTTAGGGCAATATTCAAGTAACAACTTCCCTATTCATCCAGCCGCTCTCGCAACATAAATACATAACTAAAAGGTTTTGAAAAACTATCCAAACACAGTTCAATTGTATATAAAATATTTAATTTTTAAAACACAGGCTATTCATGTCACATAAATATCTTCAATTTTATGTTAGCTACTATGGTCAGCAGAATTAACAAGTATGACTATTAAGAATAACTTAGATACTGTCACTTATAGGGAAGTCTAAAGCTCTAAGACTCACCATATTAAAATTTCAGATACTTGAATACTGTAGCTATTTTGTAAGATTTCAAAATATTTCTTCACTTCCTGCAATGCAGTTTCATTATAAGTTGTTAGTACTTAATATCCAAATAAAAGCAAAATAAGTTTTTCTTTCATTTCTCCCCAACAACAAAAAAGTTGCATCAAAAAATAAAATGGTCAACTGACATCATTTTATAGCAGTAAAATGGTAAATTATCCACTTTGAAATATTCTTACTCTCACCAAGCTAGAATGCTTCCCATATACTACATTAAACGAAGGCTCACAAGTCAGATAAAGGGCACAAGGTTAAAAAACTGACTTTAGAACTGGAGCGATTTCCAGTCTTTAACAGTTGTTTCAATTTAAGATTCCAAACCAGATTCCAGGAGAGAACAGTGAAAACAAAACGGTTAATTGACACAACTCTCATTTCCAGACTCTCTTTTTTCATTTAGTGATGTGGAAACACTGGATATGTACCTTTGGTTCCTTTCTAAAATTATAATTATCTGTGTGAGTGTGCACAACAAGTTAGATTTAACACATTACAATTTAAATAAGAATTTCTCCATTCTTTGTTGGTTTTAATTTTTAAAAATGCTGAATTGAACTAAAGTCCTAATAAATCTCACAGGTGAGAGGAGTTTTCTCTCACTTTTTCTTTGCTTGCAATAAATTCAATTTAGGCATTGTTTGTAATTAACAAGTGAACAGTGTTAATTTTTTCTTAAAATGGCAATCGTGTAACTTAAAATATGGTGTTTGCTACCCCGCCCCAGGGTGTTAATAGAATTATGCAAATTATGTTTGTTATGCCCTGTTTCTATGTCACTATGGCAAAAGGAAATGGAACGACATGACAGCCTAAAAGAAAACATACTCTGAAATTCTCATTAAGCTATTGCTTTCAACATTTTTTTTTTTTTACTTTCAACATTTAAATGACAGAACTTTTTAGACCTCATCGGAAGTACTGATCGCAGTTCTATTCCCTTTCTTTACTCTCACTCCCTTTTCAAGAGAAGGTGGTAGTGGAAGATATCACAGCCCAAAGACAGGCAGAAAAGGAGAAAGTGTGATAGGCAGACAATGGATCTAACAGGAACTGAACAGGCAGCCCTAAACCCCCAAGAGCTCCCTTCCTCTTCAATACAATGTATTGATTCCCTTCAGAAGACAAATGGGTGTAAAGGTTAACTACTTTTTCAGACCTTAAGCTTACCTGTTAAGGCACTTACTACCCTCCCCACCCATATTTTTCATATAAAACCCACTTTTCATTTGAATGCTTTTTGCTAGGTTATGATAATCTGCAAAATAAAACAAAAATAACATTGACCATTTTTTTTTTTTATAAAACTTGCTTCAAGAGAAAGGTTGTGTTTTATTTTCTGAAATGAGCACAAAGTACACCTTTCACAATAACACTGAAAGCAGGTGCAAAGACTGACAGTGACCTTTGACTAAAGGTAGCTTTGTAAAAAGAAAAATACCAAATAAATCAGTGCCCTTTCTGATTGTTGTAAAACTGGAGAAGGAAGGGATTGGTTGGTTGTTACATAAAAGTTGGTCCAAACTTACAAAAAAAAAAAAAGCACAAATGTGCATAGTTCAGATCTGCAAGAGGGCCATAAAGAACTTTTATGTCCCTAATATTAGCATCCACTTAAAACTGCAAGAATACAAAATAAAACTGTTAACTAGAATTTGTGAAGATGTACAATCAATAGATCTAGTTTTTAGAACAGCATGAATTTAAGCAAAGGTGGGTTTTTTTTTGTTTTTTTTTGGTCTTTTTAAACTATTGTATGCAAGACCCTTTCCACATAAAAATAAAGCTGTTGTTGAATTAATATTATTCAAGTCTCTTGGATTGCTGCCTTAAACTGCAGCTAGAAAAGTCTTTCCAGATAAAAATGATGTGCCTGAGGAAAAACTGATACTCAGTATGGCAGCCCTCTGCCTCGACCCCTGCCGGCTGACGTGCTAATGTGTCCCCTGTATCCTTGTGAGTAGCCAGGTCCTTGGGCAGGAGAAGTCCAGGTCTGTCCGTGCATGAGGCTGGGGCCCCCCGGGTTTTCCTGTAAGGTACCACCATAGTTATAGTTGTGCATCTTTGCTGGCAAAGGATGAGTACTCTCTGGCCCTGTGGAAGGGTCACTGCTGTTCGCCAGGACTGCAATGGGGCCATGGCTATATTCAAATCTGTGGTCCTTGTCTCCACTAAACAGCATGGGAGCAGTGTTGAGGTAAATGTCTCCATAGCCAGCCACTGAAGTGGGAAACGACTCGGAAAAGGCAGGAGGCTGAGGTGGACCACCAGAATGAGATGAAGTGTTACTGTAGGTGTCCAAAGGCTGAATATCTGAGTTTCCAAGGAAGCTACGTCGTTCCAGTGGTAGCGCAGAGCCACCTCCTAGACCATCATTACTAATATAAGGAGCAGAAGAGAAAGAAGAGGATCCAAAATTGTCCTTGTAGTCTGAAGGGGGTACATAAGTATCACCTGCCTGGTAGTCAATACCACCTTCTCTTTTGGGGTCCTCCTGGGGTTGGTGCTGAGTAAGCAGCTGTAGCAGGGCTGCTTTCACTCCGGCATGAGGGTCGGTCAGTGAAGAACCAGTGGCAGGAACGTGCTGGTTTTCTGTCCGATAATCCAGGTCATCTTCAGTGACTGGTGGTGGTTCAGGTGGTTCCGGAGGGCGCTGATCAGGAGGCAGAATACGAGGCCGCTCTGGTTCTGGGGTGAGCTCCAACATCCTCATGTCTTGGTGCTGAATGAGATCATTTTGCCCTAAGTGAAAAAAGAAGAAGAAGAAAAAAAAAAAAAAAAAAAAGAATCAAAATATACTGTAGAAAATCAAATGTTCAAAATAGTGAATGTTTCCTACGGGTGGTCCTAAAGAGTTCCATCTCTGTGCAACCACTCACCGCCACCACCACCCCCCCCCCCCAAAAAAAAATAGAAAAGAAAAGGGAAACAGTATATAAACCCTAATATTGCCTACTAACATTTAAACGTATGGTGACCAAAAATTATATTATATTTGACTTTATAAAGGTCTCTCATATATACCTGTTTATTGCTTGAAGAACAAAAGCTGCTATATATGCAAAATTTCTGCCTTGGTCAATCAAACTGTTAAAGCTGGAGTAAAAGATTATTTCTTAACCATAGAAATCCATGGTGTTCATAATAAGTTATATCGCACATGGATAATTTGCTAAAGAATCAATATCTAGAAGTAAACAGATTAAAAAACCTAAGACCTGAGAATTTTCAGACATTTCCTTGCAATGCCACTCAACAATACACATTACAGATAATCAACAGTAAGAAACCAGTGTGGACGCAGCTCCATTAGTGGTCTATCTGCACACTCACCCGACACCGGAGTGCTAGGTTCTGGAGGCGGTCTGAGTTGTAACGATGCTGCTTCATGGCCCGATCCGTTTTCCCTTTCCTCTAGTAGCACTTCTTTCTGCTTTGACTGCTGAGCCTTTATTAACTGAGTCAACAGAACTGCAAATGCACTCTGCACGGCCGCCTGGGCAGCATCAGCTTCCACTTTCGGCTGGACGCTCTGAGCAGAAGGCTGAATTCCTCCCAACGGTTTTGAAGACTCCTGTTGTGGTGTTGATGGATCTGTCTGTTTTTCACCTGTTGCCAAAATTCCAGCAGGAAGGTTTATTTTATTTAGCTGTTGTTCAGTCTCAGAGTTTACCTTAATGTTCAACACTTGAACAAAATCAGCCATATTAATACTTGTTTTAGATTGTAGTAGGTTTAGTAAAATTGCCAATTCAGTGTGGTTTAACTGCTGTCCAGGGCCTGTTTTTACTAAAGACAAAATTTGTATTAATTAGAATTGCCATAATTCATGGCTGCCCCACCCACAAAATGGCTCTGTTTGACCACATGAAAATGTGTATTTGTAGGACAATGTTTAAGAAACACTGTAAAAAGGGAATCTCATTTTAATTTAATTTCATATTCATTTAAGACAAAACTATATGTAAATTTTTTAAAAAAGACTGTGGTCCATTTTGAATAAATTATCTTTAAGAGCAAATATTTCAAAAGGGAAATCAAGACTATCACTAGAACCCTATACTATAAAAGTAACTAGGAAATGTCACCTGTGAATGGGAATGAATGACGATAAAGACAACGATAGCTCCAGTGTCAGGTTCTTTCTAAGTATTTTTATATCCTCTATTACAACAATATAAGGCATGCTCTATTATTAGCCCCATTTTTAAATGAAGACTTGAAATATTATATAACTAGAGGCCCAATACATGAAATTCACACAAAGGGCTCAGCCCTCGCAGCCTCGACAGCTTGCCTCAAACTCTTGCAACCCTGGCTTCATCTGGAAGGATGTCCGGAAGGTTGTTTGGCTGTCTGGTCTAATTAGCATATTTTGCTATTATTATTATTATTATTATACAGTTTTAGATTAAATCAAATCAAACTTTTATAAGTTATTCTTGTGACCTGTAGCATTAATACGGAACAAAGTTTGATTACTATACCCCAAAGGCCATTTTTCCTCATTTTCGTTTTCTTTTCTCCATTAACAGAGGCAGTCTCTGTGAGCTCAGAAGTACTCTTTCTGGTGTCTCCTCTACAAAAGTGGCATTTCCCTATTTCAACACACTTACTGATTAATGGAGAAAATTAAGCAAAGAGTATACATTCCTATTTAAAAAAAAAAAAATCAATTCTCACTTAATAGTGAATTTTTTAAAAAAGGAAAACAATAAAATAAAATTAAACTCTCCACCATTAATAGGGTTATTAAATATGTAGATAACAAAATGAGGCCAGAAAGGGCAATTCATTTTTTACCAGCTAAAATAGAATGAAACAACTAAACTTCCACTAGGTTTGCTAGTGGACTAAAGACAACAGTTCCATGAATAGGAGCAGAAATAAAGACCTGATAGTCTTGTTAAGGAAGACGACAACTGTAACCTGACTACCATCCACACTTCATATTACTGACCTCTCAAATCCTGTTTCAGTAGATGGTATATAAAACATGTAACTTAAGTAAAAATTAAGAAAACTTCCCGTTGCTTCTCTTTGCCTTTCTCCATATTTTACAAATTTTAACATGAAAATAAACTGAACTTGATTTAGATAGCCTTCATAATATGTGCAATAGACATGTTTTCCAGAGCTATGAATAAAATATTTTAATGTATAAAGGAAATTCACTTTTTTTAAAGAAATTCTGAAGAATACTCCTCTACAAGAAATAAAAATTGCTGCTGCTTTTTAAAGTAATATTTATCAATAACTAAGGTCAAGTATGAGCTTGCAGATTACATCGGAAAGCATTAATGGTAATTTTACTCAAGCTTTCTCAGCTAATCTAGTCTATATTTACACCCAACCACCAAAAGTTAAATCTGATTCATAGATCCTTTATCATCAATTAACTAACCAACCAATATTTACTCACCTCTTACTATGTGCTATGCTACCTTTTCAGGTTTAATAATTACCACACACACACACACACACACACACACACACACACACACACACGTACATACAGGCAGACCTTGGAAATAGAGTGGGTTTGGTGCCACACAAATAAAGCAAATATTGCAATAAAGCAAGTCAACACACATTTTTTTGTTTCCCAGCACATATAAAAATTATGTTTATTCTATATTGAAGTCTATTAAGTATGCAACAGCTTTATTTCTAAATATATGGCTTGCATACTTAATAAAAAATACTTAATATTATAAGCAAACTTTATAAAAAAAAAATACTTTATTACTAAAAAATGCTAACCGTCATGAGCCTTCAGCTGGTCAATAACCTTTTTGCTGGTGGAGGGTCTCGCCTCAATGTTGATGGCTGCTGACTGGCCAAGTGTATCAGTGGCTGAAGGTTGGGGCAACAGTTTCTTTGCAGCATACAATGCTATTTGATAACACTTTACCAAAGTAAAACTTTTTTCAAAATTGGAGTCAAACCTCTCAAACCCTGAAGTTGCCTTATCACCTCAGATTATGTGGTATTCTAAATCCTTTATCATTTCACCTATTGTCACAGGAGTAGATTCCATCTCAGAAAACCACTTTCTTTTTTCTCTGAGTAACAACTTTCATCTGTTACAAGTTATATCAGTTTGGTTACAGCAATTCAGTCACATCTTCAGGCTTCACTTCTGCTTCTAGGTCTCTTGCTCTTCCTACCACATCTTACTTCCTCCTCTGAAGTCTTGAAAATCAAAGTCATCCATTGGGTTTGGAATCATCTTCCAAATGCCTGTTAATGTTATTTAGAAATTGTCCCACGCATCATGAATGTTCTTTATGGCATACAGAATGGAGAATACTTTCCAGGTTTTTACTTTGCTCAAATCCATCAGAGGAATCACTATCTATGGCAGCTATACCCTTACAAAATGTATTTCGTAAGTAGTAAGACTTTAAAGTTGAAATTGCTTCTACATCCATAAGCTGTAGAATAGGTGCTAACAGGCATGAAAACAACACTAATCTCGCTGTAGATCTCCATCAGAGATCTTGGGTGACTATGTGCATTGTCAATGAGTAGTATATTCTGAAACAAATCTCTTTTTTTTTTTGCTGAGAATTAAGCCTCAACAGTGGGCTTACAATATTCAGTGACCTATGCTGTAAACAACTGTCCAGTCCTCCGGGCTTTGTTGTCCCACTTACAAAGCACAGGCAGAGTAGATTTTCCATAATTCTTAAGGACACAAAGATTTTCAGAATGATAAATGAGCATTGGCTTTAACTTAAAGTTTCCAGCTGCATTAGCCTCTAACAACAGTTAGCCTGTCCTCTGAAACCAGGCCTTGCCTTCTGCTGTCTAGCTATCAAAGTCGCATCTTCTTTCAGTTTAAGGATGTATTTCTACATTGAAAATCTGTTGTTTAGAGTAGCCACTATCATTAATTATCTTAGCTAGATCTTCTTGATAACTTGCTGCAGCTTCTATGATACATCAGTACTTGCAGCTTTTCTGGCACTTTTATATTATGAAGATGTCTTCTTTCCTTAAACCTCATGAAGCGCCCTAACTGGTTGGCTCCGTGGATAGAGCATCAGTCTGTGGACTGAAGGGTCCCAGGTTCGATTCTGGTCAGGAGCATGTACCTTGGTTGCTGGCACATCTCAGGTAGGGGGGATGTGCAGGAGGCAGCTGATCAATATTTCTCTCTCATTGATGTTTCTAACTCTCTAACCCTCTCCCTTCCTCTCTGTAAAAAATCAATAAAATATATTAAAAAAACAAAAAACAAACCTCATAAAGCAATTTCTGCTAGCTCCAAATATTTCTTCTGCCATTTCCTTACCTCTCTTAGCCATCACAGAACTGAGGAGAGTTATGGCCTTGCTTTTAATTAGGCTGTTCCTACTATTTGTGGTGTTTACTAGAGTAGTACTTTTAATTTCCTCCAGTAACTTTTCTTTTGCATTCACAATTTGATTAACTGGTACAAGAGGCCTAGCTTTTGGACTTACACTGCTTTTGGCATGCCTTCCTTACTAAACTTAATCATTTCTAGCTTTTGATTTAAAGTGTAGCTCTTCCTTTCCCTTGAACACCTAAAAGCCATTATGAGGTTATTGACTGGCCCAATTTCAATTTACTATTGTGTCTGAGGGGATAGGGAGGTCCAAGGAGATGGGAAGAGATGGTCAAAAGGTCAATGGAGCAGTCAGAACACATATAACGTTTATCGATTAAGTAAGCTATCTTCTATGGCACTGTTGGGGCGCCCCTAAACAATTACAATAGTAACATCAAAGATCACTGGTCACCACCCTGGCCGGTGTGGCTTCAGTTGGTTGAGCAAAGTCCCATACACCAAAAGGTCACCAATTTCTCATCAGGGCACATAGGCACTCCTGGTTGGGGTGCATACAGGAGGCAATCAATCAATGTTTCTCTGTTACATCAATGTTTCCCCCTCTCACTCCTAAAATCAATAAAAAATATATTCAAAAAATAAAAGACCAATCACTGATCACCACAATAAATATAATAATGAAAAAGTTAGAAATATTCTGAGAGTTACCAAAATGTGACTAACAAATAAATGCTGTTGGAAAAATGGCGCTGAAATACTTGTTCAATGCAGGATTACCATAAACATTCAATTTATGAAAATTGCAGTATCTATGAAGTGCAATAAAGTGTAGCACAATAAAACAAAGGATGCCTGTACTTATTTCATATCTGTCTACACACACACACACACACACACACACACACACACACACTAAACTAAACTAAATCTGAATGCTTTCTGGTCTCTTGAGGCCAAATGAGGGAGTAGATTCCATTTTTGAAAAAGTCAACATTGAAGAGATTGATTTCTCATGAAAAAGCTTACTCTTACAACAGATTGAGTCAGAGGGAAAAATTTAAGTTTTTCCCAAATATCCTTCTTTGTCACCCTTCAAAGTCATTTGTGGCACAAAATCAGATTCCAATCTTTTGAGATTCTATAATATAATGGGAAATATATTAAGAGTAATTTCTGAGGACATTATAGACAGTACAAAAGAGCTTCTATTATAATTTTGGCTGTTTTCTTATATCCCTCTTACTTCTTGAGCATTCAGACATTAAGTGCTGAGCCTCAGTGAGAACAGTGTTAGCAAAAGACCTACTGATTCCTGTACTAAGAGGAAAAAGAAAGTAGAGAAATCTGACTAATAACTAGTCATATATAATTTGAGTCCCTCTTTGTTAAGTTCATCTTACCTTGAGGTTGCTTACTATTGTGATGCCAGTACCAGCGACACATTTGTCCTGGCACAAGTAAATAACAAAGAAATATCAAGTTCAGTGAATAAACCTTAATGTTCAACTTTTAACCTCCCACACGTTAGCATAAGAACAGCCACAAAACAACTGGAAGAAAACCATGGGAGCATTACTGACCAGGTGCCACATTCGAGTTGCCCTGAGATTTCAGTTGTGAAGTTGGCAGCACACCCTGGGGTGTGTTCGTTCTGCTGTCATCCAAGCCCAGAGACAAGTCCTTTTTGGGGGCTTTAACTGTGGAAACATCATCAGTCATGCCCATTTGCTTCTGTCTTCTTCGCTTTTTACTCCACAACTCATGGCAGTCTTGCCATAAAGGAAGGCTAGAAAAAAAATAAAATGGTTTCTCAGTGGCATTTCTTAACAACAAAATACTAATATTTCTAAACAACCAAAATGCCACTCCCACACCCCTGCAAGTTGTTCTTGAAGACTTGACACACAGGCTGTACAACTGTTCCAATAACAATTGGCCTTGATGCACACCTCCTTCAGTACTTCATCTTTATAAATAGACTGTGGCTTCTGAATAATCAACAAATAATCATTTATTAAAACTATATATGAAGAGTGTAAGGTCAGCCCTAGCTGATTTGGCTCAGTGAGTAAAGTGTCGGCCTGCAGACTGAAGGGTCCTGGGTTCAATACCGGTGTCAAGGCACATGTACAGATTGCGGGTTTGATCCCCAGTAGGGGGAATGCAGGAGGCAGCCAATCAATGATTTCGCATCACTGATGTTTCTATCTCTCCCTCTCCCTTCTTCCCTGAAATCAATAAAAATATATTTTTTAAAAAGAATGTATAAAAATAGGTTACATTTATCCTTGGTACAGTCTTTTAAAGCCAATTCTTATCATAGAACATCATACATTGAATACGATATTACAAAAGGCAAAAAATATGCCATTTGCAGAAATTAGACTAGACAGAGGATTGAAAGTACACAGACTAGGACATAACAACTGTGAAAACTTTTCTTGCAAAAACGTTTAACTTTTTAATACCCTCGTATTTGCTTCTGTAAGCAAATGTCCTAGAATTAAACTGATGCTAGAGGAATTTCAAAAAAAGAAAATCCAGGCTCATTATTTATCAACAAAAGTTTTGAATAGCTAGCAAGTATCATCAAAATTACCTTCAATTATGAAACAATTCTACTTGAATGTAATTTCATAAACCTGACAACAGTGCAGAATAACTTTTACTTAAAAAGAGACTTAAGTATTTGATTTATAAATGTTTTTGTTTACCCTAATAATCCAATATTATGTCTATTTAAAGATGAGAAAAGATGAAAAAATCCAATATTATGTCTATTTAAGGCTTGGAAAGGTTAATAAACTTGCCCAGAATAACTACAATTTTTCTTAAGAAGCCCTGACTTGATGATGTAAGTCTGCAGTCTTTAGCCTATATATGTTTTCCTCTAAGGATACATGAAGACTATTTTTTTAAATTGTTTTAAAATAATTTCTATATCCACATGTCCTTTTTCCTACAACTGATCTTTGAGAATGGCCTGCACATTCAGCAAATTCTTTCATACCTCCTCTTTTACAGTTATTCTTATCTCATGTTATAAAAGAAAGGCATATGCAACAACATGGTTGAGTCTTAGCAATGTAATATAGTATTACATTAAAAAAAAAAATCATTCCCAAAAGATTACAAATAGCATGACCCCCTTTTATAAAATTAAAAACTAAAATTTAAAAATATAAATTACTATGAGTACATATAGATGGCAACAAAAAGTATATACAAAAGAAAACAGGGATGATGGTTACTTCAGGTACAGGAAGGCAAAGGGATATGGGTTGTGGAGTAGGGTTGGAGTGGGGAAAGGTATGATAGGATTAAAGTAGATTATTTTCAAGATTCTAGCTTTCATTTGGTAGGCTCATAGCTGCTTATCAACATCATTTAAAATAACTAATTAGGTAACTAAAGGGGAAAAAAAAGAGAGCCATGCATGGACCAACGATGAGTGATACAAGGATTATGATTAAACCAAGTTTATGCACCTGAGGTCCAAAAACGAAACAAAGGCATACCTCTTAGCCATCTTACTATGATGCATTGCCTCAGCGTGTAATAACCTCCTGGAGTAACAAACAAAGGGACAATTTGAAATATTGATACAGGGAAGCTGTAAGGCATCATAATCCCACCAAAGCCTTTCCTCTCTTTCTTCTCCCCCTGGCCCCTCTCTCTGTGTGTGCATGTGTTTTTTATAAGGTGTGCAGCCTTAGCCTCTGCTGGGATATTCTGAATTCAGACGTACTGCAGTAACGAGTGATTTTACTTCCACCATCCAAATATTCTGGGAATGCATGGCTCTTATGAAAGAGTCCCATGAGTGTAAAGCAAAAAAATCCACTAAAAGGGCTTTGTTCCCTCCCATAACTTAAAGGCAAGAGATTCTTTATGGGTGATTTCAACACTCATCTTTAGGTCAGATAAACATCACCCAACAAATAGCTCACACAGTATTAAGTCAGTGATGCTGACTAACAGATGTACCAGGAATGTTTTCTAGGATGAACACATTTTTATGTTCTTTTCTGAAGGTTCAAATACTGGCACAGCCACTTATTGTGTCTCATTAGGCAAGTAATGACCTCTGTGCCTCAATTTTAAAAATGAGATAACTATGCATGATAGGGTAGAGATAATATATGTTAATATAGGTAAGTGCTTGGGCATGGTTAGGCAATATATTCATGTTTTATTCCATTTATCATTATTCAATAAGGTAGCTTAAAGCATTTATGCAAATATAGCTGGTCACATTTTACTTTATGCATTATTTAATATTTTATACTTGCTATGAAGAAAAAAAAATCATATGCTAGGTGCCATTCTAATTCACTTTTTAGCAATTTTTTTTCTCTTTTCATTAATTTGACAGGACATCTAACACAATTAAGAGAGTTACTTTTTTATATTTTTTAATACTCCACCCTCATTTGATTATTCTTAAAATATTGATCAGAAGAGTGTATTACACACACATGTTTCCTAAAGGAATACCATGCCTTTCTTCATCGTCCTTAGTTCATAAATAATTTGTAATTTTAATTATCTATTACATATTATAAAATGAAAGATAACATAGTTTATAATACCTTTTTATTTAAATATTAGATTGACATCTTTATAATTTTACCTGACTGCCTTAGTGATATATCCCATAACTTATTACTTGTTTACAGAATTTTCATCAAAATGTGTATTAATGTTTATTTTTAATGAAAAAAAATGTAGCCAGGTATATTCTGATAAAAACAGTGAATTTAGGTATTATATTTGACAATATGAACAGTGTTTCCAATTAAGTTATGTGGGAGACACTTTCATAAATTGAAGGAAATACATCTATAGTTCCAAGGTTTTGACAGAAACATATAGTTTAAAAATGTAATAAGAAACAATTTAATAAATTGGCAAAGTAACACTAAAACGACATGCTAACTTCCTAACCTTTTCTAAGTATACTGGTTTAAACACGTATGAATTAAAAAAAAAAAAAAAAAAGTAACAAGTATCAGAGGTATTTTAAAAGGTATTCGTAAAGCTTCTTTGGTTTACTTTCCCAAAATTTGAAAAATTAAGTGATTAATGACTGAATAACTTATCTTTTGGCAAGTCATGGGGTTTCCAGGCTTTACTGTCAGAAAATTAAAGGAGGAAAAATCTTAAGTTTATATTTTAAAGATCATTAAAATAACATTAGATGACAGATTACTATGTGGTTTTGGAACTATAATATGGAGGGAATTTAAAACTCAGTGATGTAACTATGACAAAACTCCACCTATTCTCAAATGCTTGTTTACAATGTACTTATTAAAATAGTATTAAAATTAATGTGGAACTGTTGCATTCTAGAATAAGTACTATTAATTGATATGCAAACTACATGGGGAAATTAGCCCTATTTATTTTATTAGGTTGCATTTCCAACAAAATCTAATATTTTTCCTCCTTTTCTAAACTGAAATGTATGCTATTAATATTTGCAATGACAAATTAATCAAGAAGAAAAAGAAAACTAGTCAGTTTTTAAAAATAAAATTTCCATTTATGTGTATACCTATGTTTTAAAAATGTATAACAAGGTAATCAATTAATACTTTGGAGCAAAAATATATGTTGCATTAAAAAGCTACAGAAGCAATGTAAGTTCAAAATGAAAAAAAGAGCCATGTCAAATTGTTAGTTTCTTCATACATTTTTCTTGTTGTTGATCCTCACCAAAGGATATTTTTCCACTGATTTTTTGAGAGATTGGGAGGGAGAGAGATAGAGAGAAACATTGATGTGAGAGAGACACATCGATTAATTGTCTCGTGCATGTGCCTCAGGGACCCTGGATCAAGCCTGCAACCAATGTATGTGCCCTTGAGCAGAATCAAACCTGAGACCCTTCAGTCCGTGGGTTGACACTCTATCCACTAAACAGGCACGACTCTTTACATATTTTCTAAGGAAATGTTTGGGAATATAAGGTAAGATATTTTTATCTCATTGAATATATTTTTAAGAGTGATATAACTGCTCTATTTAAGTGTCAATGTTCATGATACATTGAAAATTACATCTTTTGCAGCTCTATAAACCATTGATTTTAAAAGTTTGGATGTCAATTAAAATGTACTTTTATACAGTTTTACCAGAATTCTTTCATGTGTACTACTTAAACCAACATGTCAATTTAGATCAACTTAGACATTATCAATATATAAGAAAAATTACATTATATTCCTCTTGATATGATAAAGCAGAAAGCACACGTTACTATCTAGCTAATTCTTGCAAAAAATAAGTAAAAAAGAAGTTACTCTAATCCTGATATTTTTTTAAAAAGCAATTAAAGTCAGATTTTAGGCCAAAACCGGTTTGGCTCAATGGATAGAGCGTCGGCCTGCGGACTGAAAGATCCTGGGTTTGATTCCAGTCAAGGGCATGTACCTTGGTTGCGGGCACATCCAAGGGGGGGGTGCAAGAGGCAGCTGATCAATGATTCTCTCTCACCGATGTTTCTAACTCTCTATCCCTCTCTCTCCCTCTCTGTAAAAAATCAATAAAATATATTAAAAAAAAAATAATAACAAAGTCAGATTTTAGAATGTTTTACAAAACAGCTAGCTTGGTGTCAATATCATAAAAATCTTTTCCAAACAGTGGTTAAAGACTGAAAACACATGACAGCTAAATGAAATATGTAAACTCTGCCCTAAAACAAAGGCTATAAAAGAAAATTATTATGGAGAAATTTGACTATGGGCTATTAGATTTTACAATGTTAAATTTCTTATGCTTTATACAGAATTAGTCTTAGTTCTTATAGAATCACTTATAAATGAAGCATTACTTCCACAATATATTATTCAAACAGTTCAAATAAAAGTTTACATAGATTGATAAAGCAAATATTTCCAAATATTAACTGTTAAATCTAGAAGAACATATGAATGCTCACTATAATATTTTTTCTATTTTAATGTAAATGAGAAAATTTTCAAATCCAAAATTGAAAAAAATTCTTTAAAGGAATACTAGAGCCAGTTTCATGACAGCTAATAGCTACTGATGAGCAAAACAAACAAAAACTCATGAGACAATTCAACAATTAATCATTCAGGTCCCTCAATATACCAGACTAGAGGCCTGGGGTACAGATTTGTGCACCAATGAGGTCCCTCGGCCTGGCCTGTGGGATTGGGCCGAAACTGGCTAACATCCAGAGGGGCCCCAGATTGCGAGGGCGAAGGCCAGGCTGAGGGACCCCACTGGTGCACGACTGGGGCCAGGAAGGGACTGTGAGAAGGCTCTAGTGCATATCTGACCCATCTTGCTCAGTCCTGATTGGCTGAACTCCAACAGCAAGCTAACCTACCAAAGCGTCTGCTCCCTGGTGGTCAGTGCACATCATAGTAAGCGGTTGAGTGGTCTTAGCTTATTATTAGTATACTAGAGGCCCAGTGCACAAAATTCGAGCATGGTGGGGAGGGGGGAGTTTCCCTTCAGCCCAGCCTGCACCCTCTTCAATCTGAGACCCCCTTGAGAGATGTCCAACTGCCTGTCAGACATCCCTCTCACAATCTGGGACTGCTGACTCCCAACCACTTGCCTGCCTACCAGCCTGACTCCCCCCCCCACCCCAACTACTCCCCTGCCAGCCTGATAAGATGCCTGACTGCTCCCCTACCTGCCCTCCCCTGCCAGCCTGGTCCCCCCTGCCACTGCCCTCCTCTACAGGCCTGGTCCCCCCCCGAAGTGCCCTCCCCTGCAGGCCTAGGCACCCCTGTCTTCCCCTGCAGGCCATCTTGTGGTAGCCATCTTTGACCACATGGGAGTGGCCATATTGTGTGTTGGGAGTGATGGTCAATTTGAATATTACCGCTTTACTGCTTTATTAGATAGGATTATGCTTTGGTTGAACTGATGACTGGACAACCAGACACTTAGTATATTAGGCTTTTATTTTTTATTTTTTTTTAAGTACAGATTCTTTTTTTTTTTAAGACTATTATCCCATTTTTTAAATATATTTTATTAATTTTTTACAGAGAGGAAGAGGGAGTGATAGAGAGTTAGAAACATCGATGAGAGAGAATCATCGATCAGCTGCCTCTTACACACCTCCTACTGGAGATGTGCCCGCAACCAAGGTATATGCCCTTGACTGGAATCGAACCCAGGACCTTTCAGTCCGCAGGCCGACGCTTATCCACTGAGCCAAACTGGTCTCGGCTAGGCTTTTATTTTATAGGATATATCCTTTAAGCCTTTCAAATCATCTCCACAAAGAGATGATTTGTATACAGCAAAAACTTAATGAAGCTGAGTATGAAGGTCTCACAGAAATATTGTAAACCCAATCTAAGTGATAAGTGAGAGAGTCAGGATTTGAACTTCAAAGGCCATGTTTGTTCATTTAGAGTATGTTAACTGTATTAAATGGAAATATTTTATTATTGTACACACAGGCTTGTTTTATGACACTCATCAGCATTTTTTAAATTATTATGAAAATGCCTGCTAAGTTTCTAGATTTTGCCAAGAAGAACCACCAAATGATCTGCTTTGTCCTCTCTCTGTCTCCATATCAATCTTAGAGAAACTATAGGAGCCACAAGAGAGTAAAGTTTAAAAAACCCCAGCTATTCTGACTCCCAAACTCGATGCATTCCACCCTTCCCTTCCCCACTGGACAATAAACTAATTTTATATAGGCTTTTAATACTAATATTCTTTTATCCAGTGATTAAACATTTTATTATATAGTCTGCCAAGGAATATATTAGAACTTGTTTCTCTTACTGGACTAACTAGAGTTTGAGAGTGGGGTCCATCCTTTACTGTATCTGTATTCTTGGGCAAGTTTCTTAACCTCTTTGAGCCTGCTTCCTCCTCTGTAAAATTGTGATGATGATACTAATACTCACCTCAGAATACTATATAGATGAATGTAACACATCAAAAATGTTTAGCATTAACACTCAAAATTTTAGCAATACCAACTAATAGTATAAGCAGTAGTATGGGTACTACAATAAGCTGCAGCATTAATATCTTCTTTGAATGAAAATATATTAATAAAATTAGCTAGAGGAAGACTACTTTTGTTAGTCCTATGGTTAGCTGAACATTAAGCATTCTAGATATGCAAATTATATATTTTATACTGTTATTCTATTTCTTTTTATTTCTTTTTATTTTTTTTTTTACTTAACTGATAATTAAAAAGCTTCGGATAGGTACATACAGATGTTATTAAAACTCCCGTTTCTTTGCATATGGGATCTAATGATAAAAAGTCACTTACTCTGGTGGGGGCATTTTTGAGGGTTCCACATCCCGTAGGAACTCACACTGAAGAGCTTGCTCTGCAGTGCAGCGCTTACTAGGATCCAAGGCCAGCATGTAATCAAATAAGTCTAGTGCAGCTGCAGGAATACTGACATGAGAGGATTAGAAAAGTTATTCGTGGTCTTTGGCACAAGTTTAATGTTTCTTTAGAAGCTTATTACAAGTACTAGCATTTGATAACATGTTTATAATAACTTATTCCAGTAACTACCAATTTTCTTTTGAAAAATACGTTCACATATTTTTATAACTATCATTCTAATAATTTTAGTTTTGGCAAACAAGAGTATATTTTATTACTCTATGAGCAATTTGCTGTTATAACACAAATTAAGAATTGAACAGAAAAGTTTCCTACAATAAAAATAAAAGCCTGAGCTCAAGTTGAAAGATGTTCCAACAAAATTTAAAATAATGTTAAAGTTTTCTCTATGTAAATACCAAATCTAACACACAAACCCAAACCAGTGGTTCCACAATGGTGGTGAAATGGTAATTTGCACATAGCAAAGGGAAACTCAAAATAAAATGACACAGAATAATTGTGATAGATCTACTTTGAGTCAGTAGAGAATTGAGTAACATTTAACATTCACAGTAAATAACTAAAAAACAAATAAAAACATTCAATGCAATATGGATGTTTAAGCAACCCCTTCTTACAAAACAAATTCTTCTCTTAACTTTCGACGATATTGCTTCTTTGGTTTCATGGTGTTGAAATACGGTAGTTTGATCACATCGGGCCACACTGCAGGACATGGACTCCCACATATACGGCTAAACACACAAAAAGAAGTACATCACTATAAATTATAGACAAAATAACACATACAACTGCTATACAAAACATCAACTCATTTAAGTCCTGACATATAGAAATTTTATTAAATATTTCACTCAGCCAATGTAATTACTTGTTTTAAGAAATCAATTTATTTTCAGTGGATATATCTAATACTTCAAACATTGCAGTTCCTAGAAGGAAACCTTATAAATCAAATCTTAAAGGTAACATTCAAAATATGCTGATCATATGTTGAACAAAATAATTTTATCCCAATAAATTAAGAAGAGTTTGGTATATGCTTTTCTCTGATTTTATAGGTACCTGTCATTTACCTCTTTTCATGAATATAATGAAGTTTGCAATAAAAGCAGAAACAGATATACTGTACTCAGGAAGATAAGTACATTGTAAATGAAGACTATTAAATTCTGTCAACTGGTTAACCCTAAAAGTAACATTCTTGAAACATTTAAGTTCTTTAAAATGACGCCACAGATTTCAAGGTATTAAGAAATTTTAACTGCTTTACTCTCTGTATCTTGAAAACACTAATTTTTAAAAAGGTATTTTTTAAATAATCTCACCTGAGATGTTTTTGAACACACACACACACACACACACACACACACACACACACACAGAGAGAGAGAGAGAGAGAGAGAGAGAGAGAGAGAGAGAGAAATTGAGAGACTGAGAGAGAGAGAGAGAGAGAGAGAGAGAGAGAGAAATTGAGAGACAGAGAGAGAGAGAGAGAGAGAGAGAGAGAGAGAGAGAAATTGAGAGACTGAGAGAGAGAGAGAGAGAGAGAGAGAGAGAGAGAGAGAGAGAGAGAGAAAGAGAGAGAGAAAGAGAGAGAGAGAGAAATGTCAATGTGAGAGGGAAACATCAATTGGTTGACTCCCATATGCAGTATGTGACCTGATTGGGAATCAAACCACAACCTTTGGTGTTCAGCAAGCATGTCAAACTCAAAGGCTACCATGGGCCAAATAAATAAGATTTAAGTTTTTGTGGGCCGCAAAAAAAAAAAAAAGCTTTAATTTTCATAGAAACATAGGTTTATTTTGATAAAGACATGCTAAATACAAAGAGATGAAATGAGTAACCGTTAATATAAGTTATAGAACATTTTAATAAAAATTAATATTTTTAATATTAACTTACCAGACACTGAATAACTGCACAAATTAATAAGCATATCACAAATAAATCTATTTTTCCTGTTCTCCAAAGGCAAAATACTTCCTGTTGCGCACACCAAGCAAGTCAGGACATGACTAATGACATGGCAATTGACTGCTAAAATATTCGTAAGGCGCATAAGGAAAATGAATGCAACACAGTAACAGTAATCAGTCATTAGCGAACACTGTAGTTGGTTATTAATAATTATGTGTAACAGAATATTTAAAAAGCACATCACAAAATTTTTATCCAAATGTTTCTTACGTAATTATATTGGCTGGGCCACACAAATATTCATTGTGGGCGGCAAGTGTGACATGCTGGTTCGGTGTACAGGACAACAGTTCCAATCAACTGAACCACCCAACCGGGGTGAAAACCCTCATAATTATTTTACTAATTAGTAAGTCTTTGTTACAATAACTTATAGAAGAAATGCTATGACAAATAGGCAACTCCAACTAGTAAATAGTTAAAAACTGATTTTGGTAATAGACAGATAAAAAAATGGTTAAATATTCTTAACTTGAATATACTAAATCTCAAGGATAAAATATATAGTATATAAAATGATCAGCTGGTCTTTAAATGTAAAAAAAGGCCCATGTGTTACTGACTAAAAATATTCTATACATACATAATTATAAATGTATGTCCCAAAGTGCATAAGCATTTGACAAGTGAAACTGCCATTCTCAGAAACACCTATTTATTATTTAAGAGAACCTCTGACACTTTTAAAATTACATGTCAACCAAATTGTGCTTTTTGTTTCAATATATGATAATCTCCCTTATCTATGAGGGATATGTTCCAAAACCCTCAATGGATGCCTGTAACCACAAATAGTAATAAACCGTATGTATGCAATGTTTTTTTCCTATACATGCATACACACTAATGGTCAAGTTTAATTTATAAATTAGACACAGCAAGAAATTAACAACCCTAATAATCAAATAGAAAAATTATAACAATATTCTGTAATAAAAATTATATGAATGTGATCTCTCAAAATGTCTTTACTTTTTTTTATTGATTTCAGAGAGGAAGAGAGAGTGAGAAAAAGATGGAAACATCAATGATGAGGATTGGCTGACTCCTGCATACACCCTGATTGGGGATCGAACCTACAACCTGGGTATGTGTCTTAAAAACCTGTTAACTGGGGAGTTCCCTTTTTAATTATGCAACGTACAATGGGCGCATACTCTTTCACTAGAACGTGTCAGTACGTCACACCCAGTGGACCTAATTTTATATTATTATTTTTTTAATTTATACTTAAATGGAACATCAAAACATCGAATTAAAAAATTATAAATTTTACAAACAATTATAAAGATTACAAAAAATATATACTGTCCCTCTCAAGGCACAACATATATTTCAAGGACGTATTCATAAGTCCTACCCGTTCCCCATATTGTTTGCGTTTGATGTATTTATACGTCCTGCTCGGTTAACAGGTTAAACAGGAATTGAATCTGTCACTTCTTTGTGTACTGTATGATGCTCCAACCAACTGAGCAACACCAGCCAAGGGCTCTCTCAAAATATCTCATCGCACTGCACTCACCCTTATACAGTGTGGGCACCCTGGATAAAAGGATGATTCATGTTCCCCATGGGAAGAAATGGGCTGACTTAAGATTTCATCATTGCACTATCGGGAACATCACATAATTTAAAACTATGATTTATTGCTAGAATGTTACATTTAATATTTTCAGACCAAGGGTAACCAAAATTGAAACCACAGATAATGAGTAGTTTTTTTTTATTTTTATAAGCCCAAGCTTTAAGAAAAGTACCAAAATCTTATTCTTTGTCCACTTCCAATCTTTTCTCTCTTAAGAAAGCAAGCCAGACTCAGGAGTATGGCCTTTTATAATCTGGTCCCAACTGCCTTCCCTACTCTCATCTCCCAATTCCTCTCTTCCCACAGACCAACCATGCCTGCATACTGCTGCTCATATTCATTTCTCAAGGGTCAGATAAAAAGCAATCCATTCAGAGAGGTCTTCTTTATCCCCAATACTACTCAAAATGATTGCTTTTTGCATGCTACTTGTTTCCTTTGATACTATATCATCCTACTTTGTATTTTAGTTGTTTACATGTACGTTTGTCTTACTAAATTATAATTTGGGAACCATGACCTTTAAACAATATACAGGTGGGAAAAGAAATAAGACAAATATGTTAATGTCAAAGAGAAGTACTCAGGCAAAAGCATGGAAGTAGCTAAATTTCGACATTTAGGAGGAAGACTAAGAAAATCAGTACAGGAGGAATTTAGAGCTCAGGGAGGTTTACCTAGAAGATAAACAGATGAATTACACAATTCAGTTTTAAGAGGCAGTTTGCCTAATTAAAGTTGACCCTTAAACAATACAGTTCTTATATTATACACAGATCTTTTTCAGTAAATGTATTTTATAATTTTAACATCTTTAGCTTACTTTATTATAAGAATACAGAATGTATATGTAACGAAATATTTATTAACTGACTTTCTATTATTTGACAAGGCTTCTTGTCAATAGTAGGCTATTAGTAGTTCAGTTTTGGGAGAGTCGAAGTTATACTCAGATTTGACTGCATCTGGGGTCGGTGCCCCAACTTCCCGTGTTATTCAAATGTCAACTGTATAATGAAGACAAATTTTAGAACTGAATCCTGTGTGATAATGATCAAATTGCACTGCATAAGAATGTTTCTTCTTTCATAAAACAGAGATTCATTTTACTTAAGAGCTGTGAGCTAGCATCCTGGCCCATCAAACTACACTAATAAAAGAGAAAGATGCAAATTGATCATATCTCCTCGACGCCCACCAGCAAATAAGAAGTATGCAAATTAACCCATCAAAAATTGTGGGTTAATTTGCATACACAGGCACTGAGTGGCAGGGGGCAAGATGCTTGCATCATCGCCATGGCAACGACGCACCACTAAGCACTCTGGGCAGCCTTGAAAGGTGGAAAGGCGGGTCCCGGCTAGAGCGAAAGCGGTACCGGCAGCCAAGGGGAGGAAGGCCCGTTCTTGCACTAATCTTCATGCATTGGGCCTCTAGTAGCCTTCAATAAATATCAGTTTCATTACCTCTTAGCTAAAGAGTTTCACTTATTTCATTATATATGTGGTGAAAAATTATCTAACTCTTAAAGTTATCAATTGGTAGCAGCAAACAGGATGCAACAGACATACTGAGGCTTGGAAAGTTACTAGAAACTAGGGAAGCAGATAGGAATTGATAATAACTATATATTAACAACATCTGTGCCTGATGATCAGCGAGCTATCCCAAAATCATTTACTGAAGATGTCCTAAAATGTATCATATGCTAAACCCCAAATATCTGAGGTCTAAATTTGGAATCTATTCTTATCTGATTTTTATATTCTGATGTCAATACTATACGACAGTTTTACATTTTTTATGAGGCTGGCAGGACAAACCCGTCTCTCTACCTACCTATTCCTCTAATTAGTCCTCTTAGAATTTCCTTGCAGATAAAATATAGAATCAATACTGTCACACTCCAAAAGTAAGAGAATCCTATTGGAATTCAACTACTGCTCTGAATTTATAGATTAATCCAGAAAGTATTGCTATCCTTACAAAGCTTAAAATTTCTATCACAAAAATATTAAACTTTATACTTCATTCATTTTAATATATATTTTTTCAATTAGATCTTGTATATTTCTTTTTACAGGTGTGTTTTGTTTTTACTTTTTAAAAATTTGTTCCTATCCTTATTATATTTCCTAAGCAGTAAGTAGGAAAGTTTTACTT